GATATAGCAGGTATAAGTTCCCCGCTTTTCAGGTGTCTGCCTGTCTCCTGTCTATTTTCTATTTATTGATCACTACTGGGGGTTCCCACATGAATCTGTCCCCCTCTGGATCATTCCCATTCCCTCTCTTGCTGCTTAATGACAGCCCCAATGCATTAACTCTTTAAGAGCCTCTAAACAGCTAAGAAAGTAGTTAAAAGGCTAATTATGGCCGAAGGGCTCAGCCAGATACAAGTATTTTAGGCCTTAAATAATGAAATGGGGACTTTACCAATGGTTTCAGAGCTACAGTGGTTTTTGATCATGGATAAACAAACTTCCAGGGAATTACAACATGGTGGTTAAAAAGAATTGGAAGAATCCTTTGGTAAGATTAAGTTTGGGGCGCCTGGGTGGCTCAGTCGGTTAAGCGTCTGCCTTCGGCTCAGGTCATGATCCCAGGGTCCTGGGATCCAGTCCCGCATCGGGCTCCCTGTTCAACAGGGAGCCTGCTTCTCTCTCTACCCTTCCCTCCTGCTCGTGATCTCTCTCTCTCTCAAATAAATAAAAAAAATCTTAAAAAAAAAAAAAGATCAAGTTTGTCTTAATTTATACCTCAACTGGCGACCAAGCGTATTCATGCACCTTCACCAATGCTAGCTTACGCATTCATTCATTCATTCATTCATTCATTCATTCATTCATTCATTCTAAACCACTTTATCGAGGTATAACTGATATACAAACAGCTGTGCATATTTAATGTATACAACTTGATGAGTATGGAGATAAGTAAACATACATGAAACCATCACCACAATCTATGCCATAAACATATCCATCACCTCCAAAAGTTTTCTCTCTCCTTCTTTATTATTATTGCTTATTGTTTTACTTTTTGTGATAAAAACACTTAAAATAAGATCTACCCTCTTAGCAAATTTTTAATATATATTAATTAATATAGTTATTACCTATGGGCACTATACAGTAGATCTCTGGAACTTACTCATCTGTGGCTCATTTATTTTTAATTTTCTAATACGAAAGGTGAAAATGATACTTCATTGGTATTTTAATTTGCATTTCTATGACTAATTATAGTTTGAATAGCCTTTGAAATGTTTATTTGCTGTTTGAAATTCTTTCACTGAGTGTCTACTGTATTCCAGACACTATGTTAGGGGCTGGGATATAACAGTTAACAAGACAAAATGTAGAGTTTACATTTCAGTGCAAGAAACAAACAATAAAAACAATAAAAACGAAACCCAAGTCATTTTTTTAACCATTTCAGTTAGTAAGAATTGCTATAAAACACAAAACAAAAATAATAACAAAGTACAGAGTAAAGGGGTCCATTATTTTAGATAGGGTAGTCAAAGAGAGGTTCTCTGAAGAGATGATATTTGAACACAGAGTGAATAGTAGTGTGTCATGTGGATCCTTGAGGAAGAATCCAGGCATAGAGCAAAAAGGAAGCTCAAAGCTCCTGAAATGCGAACATGTTTGTTTGCCTGAAGAATAGTAAGCAGGCCAGTGTGGCTGGAGTCCAGTGAAAAACAGGAAGAATGGTGGTAGCAAAAGGGGCTGGAGAGATCGGAGGCCAGATCATGCAGGGCTTACCCTGCAGGTCATTGAAAAGGCTTTGCATTTTATCCTATGTATCTTGGGAAGTAATTGAATGGTTCTGGGTAGTAGAGTGATAGGATCTGACTTATATATCTGGCTGCTATGTGGAAAAGGTCTATAAGGAAGTGAGAAAGTAAAAAGACTAGTTAGGAGACTAGTGGTGACTTGGTATTAGCAGTACAGAGGGAAACGTGATTTCTTTCAGGATATATTTTGAAGAGGATTTGCTGATGGACTTGATGTGTGATGTAAGAGAATACAAGTCAAGGGCAATTCTAAGGTTTGATCAACTGGGTTAGCTATTTATTGTAATAGAGAAACACAGGGGAACAACAGTTAGAGGAGGTAGAATCAAGAGTTTAGTTTGGAAAGTATTAAATTTGAGATACATATGGGACATTCCAGAGGAAATACCGAGTAAGCAGTAGGACATAAGAGTCTGGAGTTCAAAGGAAGAGGCCTTACTAAAGATATAAATTAAGGGCCCTTCAGTCATAAATGGTATTGAAAGTCATGAACCTGGACTGAGATCCTCTAGGGAATGATTGCAGTGAAGAAAGGAAGTCTGAAGGGTGTTCTAAAATTTATAAGCAGAAAAGGAGGATCCAACAGAGCATGGCATGAGATGGAATGGCCAATGAGATAGGATTTCATGTTTCTTGAACTGCATAGGTTCTGTATACATTAATGATACTAGTTTGTCAGTTACTTACACTACAAATTTTTTTTTTTTTTTAAGATTTTATTTATTTATTTGACAGAGAGAGAGAGAGCACAAGTAGGCAGAGAGGCAGGCAGAGGCAGAGGGAGAAGCAGACTCCCTGCTGAGCAGGGAGCCCGATGCGGGGCTCGATCCCAGGACCCTGGGATCGTGACCTGAGCCGAAGGCAGCTGCTTAACTGACTGAGCCACCCAGGCGCCCCTACACTACAAATATTTTTCCAATTTTCCATCTGCTTTTTGTTTCAGTTTATTTTTGACATATCTACTTAAAAACAGTTGTGTAGTAAAATGCACCAGTCATCCCCTTTGTGATTTCTTCCATTATTTTTAAGTTTAAAAAGTGTTCTAATAACAAGAGATTGGATAGACACTTGCATTTTATTTCTATATTTGCTTGAGTGTGCTTTGATTCAGTTGGGATTTGTTTTGGTATATGATAAGGTTATAAGTTGATACCTTTTCAAAAGATTTGTCAGGTCTCCCAACACCATTTATTAACTCTTCTCACTGGTCCGTGATGTGTTCTTCATACACTATCTTTCATTTGGTTCAGCTTCAGTTTTAAGCTTTGAAATTGCAATAGAGCTGGTGAAAAACCTTCCTTCCAGTCATCACAATGATATTTTGTATAAGAATTTCAATATGCTTGCAAGTAACTGCTAAAACAGAACCAACATTTTGAGAAGAAAAATACAAGGACAGAAGGCTAAATAGAAGAAAGATAAAACATGAAGGGTAGAAAGGAAAGGGTATAGCCCATTTTCTTTTTTGAAAAAAAAAAAAAAAAGTAGACATTGAAAAATGTAAAAAGATAACAGATGTATACACACATTTTTGTTGAGTAGCTTCCCCATGCCAGCCATTATCCTCAGTGCTCTCAAGTGTTAGTAAGACAACGTGCCTGCCTTCAGGGGTCTTAGATTTTAGTGGGGAAGTTGGGGGGTCAGATGACACATATAAATGAAGTCTATAACTTCAGTGAGTAATGAACACTATGAAAATAAGATTGGGCAATGAGGTAGAGAGTGAGTAGGAGAGAAAAAGGCCAAGGGGCCTCTCTGAGGTGACCTTCGGGCTGAGCTCTAAATCATGCAGGAGCAAGAAAAGAGGAAGGAAGGAAGGCTGCTCCAGGAGGGGGGAAGAGCAAGTGCAAGAATGGGAATTAAGAGAAGGGGAGAGTGGAAGGAGTGAAGGTCACAGAGAGATTATGGGCCCAGGAAGAACACTGGATTATCAACACTAACAAGTAGCCTTTGGAGGCGTTTACGTTGGGGGTGTGACATAATCTGTTGTCAGTCGAGAGTTATTCAGCTGTTATGTGGAAACTAATCTGGTGGTGGTGGGGTCGGGGAGAATAGGGGAGAGAAGAAGGGATTCTAGCTAGAATGATCTCATATAAAGAAGTACCTAAAATACCCTGTTGTTTTAAACATACCAAAACTAAATACTTGACACGATAGGGTAGACATACAAGTGACTAGACTATAAGATTCCTGGGGGCAGGAGTTTTATCTGGTTTGTTCACCAAGTAAAGAAGGTCTGGCATGCAATAAAGATTTGTTAAATTCAATGAACGAAGTGACTATGGAGAATAGCCTTGTATTAGTGAAACAAGAATCCAATGAAATGAACAAACAGAAAGAGCTTCAGAGAAGCCTCATTGGTTACAGAGCTGGTGTCACAATGACACAGCACATCAGAACAGTGAGAAGGATTTCCATCAAGGATGGGTCATTTAAAAATAACATTACACTAAAACAGGGTTTAAGACACGAGTTTCAATTTAGCCACTCTCTTGGAAACTTCTTCTCATCCCCTAGACTGTGGGTTTCTATGTGGCAGGAATTATGTCTTCTTTTTAACTCTCCAAGTAGGAGCAGAACACATCACGTGTGTGTACTCCATAAATGTATATTTAGGCTGCTGGAATCCTACTGAAGAAAGGCTAGCACATAGGCAAAACGCTTAAGGAAAAGAAATTCGGACAACTTGGCAGCATTTACCATTACTAACATTTTAGTCTTCCAGAGTAAACTTTGAAATTACATTCTAATTTGAGATGGTTCTGGTTTGACAAGTTAACTCTTGAGACATCTGAGTACAGTATTATGAAAGAACTAAACTGTTCATCAACCCTTTATGCCAATGTTAATTTCTTTTAAAACTAGAATTTTAATGTTTTTTTATTCCTACAGTGACCCTTAAAATTTCTATGTATGTAATCACAAATGCACACACAAGATGCATTTATAAGCTTATTGTGTAGTTCTAAAGACAGTTGGGAAACCCAATTTTAATTTTGTTACTGAAATAATTTAAAAATATATTATAGAACTGCCTCTTTTCAATCAACAGCAAGGATCTAGAAAGAGATTATACAAGTAGGCGCAATTTATTCAGGTTTATTAGTGTTAGAAAAATGAAGTTGCCTAACTTGAAATTATAACAAATACACTTCTATTTTTCTTCTTACCATTGACATCAATGTATACATTTTCTCATGCCTTTAAAAAAACTCAGATATTTTATTTAGTAAAGATGTCATTGCATGCATTAACCACTGATAGGCTAAAATCTATAAATTTGTCAGCAAATGTGTAAAAATTCCTACCATCTCAGAGAACATTTTTGTGGCTCATAACTTTCATCAGAGAAAGAGGACTTACCGGCTTTTATTCATGAGGTCTGCTCCGCGTGCTTTGTAATAATCTAAATTTGGATGGAATTGGTAAGTCACTGGTCTTGGATTTCTCTACAGAAAAGAAAATTTTAAAATGTATAAAGCTATTTAAATTACACATTAACACATACAAGGACAAAAACAATTGTTTTTATATTCTTTCAGGAAAAAATACATATAATAACAAAGTTCAGTAATTAGTGTGCTTGGGTTTTGCTTTCATAGTTGAAGTTTTACCTTAAATGATCTTAGTCCTGATTAAACAATGAAATTATTTTATATATTTTACTTTTTTTTAAAAAAAATTTATTTATTTATTCATGAGAGACAGAGAGAGAGAGAGAGAGGCAGAGGGAGAAGCAGGCTCCCAAGGAGCAGGAAGCCCGATGCGGGACTCGATCCCAGGACCCTGAGATCATGACCTGAGCCGAAGGCAGACGCTTAACCATCTGAGCCACCCAGGCGCCCTATATATTTTACTTTTACCTGTCTCAAAGTTTACATAGATTTATTCCTGTCATTACATTTTTTTCCCAAGTACACTTAATGCACAATGTTGTATTAGTTTCAGGTGTACAATACAATGATTCAACAATTCTATACATTTCCCAGTGCTCATCAAGATAAGTGTAGATTTATTTCTGATGATTTTGATTGCTTTTAATATGACTTTCCAAAATACAATGAGATAAAATTCTGATGAAGCTGAAAAATTACATGAGATGTAACAGAAGCACAATCTACACGAAGTGTTAAGAAAGCTGCATCTTAGAGGGAGAGTAAAAATCTGTTAATTTTTGATAACCAGAATGCTAACTATGCCCACTAGATGGCACACCGAGTCTTTCTTCTCCAAAAATGAATGTGTTATTTTAGAATTCAGCAATTCTTTTAAAGTTAGAAATTTCTATGTCATCTATTCTTATATACGAGTTTAATCAGTACCCAGGTAATGAAAATATTAACAGGGTACCATCAAAATATAAAAGCAAATTGACCAATGCACATTTTCATAAAAACAGCAATATACTGGCCTTTCTGGCATTTGATATTACTCACAGACATTGCAGAAATGTCCTGAGATCATTAGGTCAGGGTTGTCTACCTAAATATGTTACTATCACTTAATGTGTCTATTATTTAAATGTGTCAGGCTCCTCATAGGCAAATAAAAATTAAACTAATTCTAGTTTATAAAAATGCAGCATGTTAATATCATAACTTAAATGAATACCATCTCTAAAATGTTAAACTACGTATATTTTTCATTAAAAAGTTTTACAAAACTTATAAATAAATGTGCTCCAGTGTTTACTTGAACTTATAATTCAAGTTAATAATTAGGACTTTGAACTAGAGCATGCCCTGTCCTTTGAGAGATCTATCTAGACATAGAAAGGCTTCATTTCATCTTAATAGAAAATTACCAATATGCTTTGATATCAATCCTTGAAGCCATAATCCCAAGGCACTGATATACTTGTATGTATGTGGGGGTTATATAATTACTAAGGTTAAATTGTTTGAAATTCATCAAGCTAACAAGCTGCATCTTAATGGCCATGATGGACCTTTTCTTTTTCTGCTGAAAAGAGAACATTTACACAGCTCAACCCTTTCATATCTCTTCCAAGTCAGCCTTAATCATCTGACAAAAATGACAATCCCTTGATTTAGCTCCAGCTACTACTCCTCTGGTTTGGTATTCAACACAGTTCTACAATAATCAAATCTGAATTGCCTTGATGAAGATAACTGATGCTTCCATGACTACCATACTATTAAGTCTAACAGTGCAACTTTTCTCTCTCTAGGAATTACATGGGTTTCCTCGTGGTAACTGATGACAACCTGGACCCAAGTATAATGGGAAAATAAAATAGAGGTGAAAGCCACTGGCAGATTGCCAGCGCATTCATGATTTATTTAAAAAATTAACTTTCGCAGGACTATCATTCATGACTAATTTTGCTCTTTATTCTCACTACCTGGAAATACATTTTGTTTTTGCTAATATTTAAAAGGCTTTTCTTCTCTGACTCCCAACAAACTAATAAAAGATTATGTTACTTTTTGCTAGAAAACAATGAAATAAGGGATTGCATGGAGCCATTTCTTGGAACATCTTTATAAAGAAACGACAAGCAATTCAAGACACGAAGTGCTGATCTATCTAAGCACTTAAAGCCATTATTAGGAATAATGATCTAACTTGAACATATGAATGAGGCTCAAGTATTGCTTTCACAGAGGCCTATTTAAATTCCTAGGAGACTTACTAGTGTCAAAGGGAGAGGCAGTTTAAAGTATCGCTGTACTGGGATGAAAAAAAAAAAAAAAGAATCAAAAGATGATGCTGAAAAACAGCATTTTAAATGTAAGAAAATAAAATCAGAGGTTATAGTTGAAAGTTATTCAATAGGATTTTGAGATGATGCTATTACTAAAACGTAACTCTATAGACATAGAGATGATTAAGACTAGCACTGTCCAACCGAAATACAATGTGGGTCACGAATGCAAGCTTCATATGTGATTTAAAATCTTCCAGCAAGCACATTAAAAAAAAAAAAAAAAAGAAAGAAACAAGTTGAATTAAATGTAATAATATTGTATTTGATTCAGTATATCTAAAATGTTGTCACTGTAACATGTAGTCAATGTAAGAATCCTTGAGACAGTTTACATTCTTCCTTTTGTACAGTCTTTGAAATCCACTGCATACATTACACTTACACCACATCTCACTTTGGATCAGCTATACTTTAAGTGCTCAAAAACCACATGTGGCTTGTGGCTCCTGTAACAGCACAGAACCAAATGTCTGACATAGACATAAACCAACGTGTGGCTGTAAAAATCAGTATGTAGAGACATGAACAATAAATGGGCACAAATACTTTGATATGTTAAGATTCAGTCCTGACAGCTCTTCAGTTTGCCTATAATTCTTCTCTTTTAATTAAGTTAGTTTTCTGAATAAGGTTTTAAAAAGTCAAGAAATTTTGGAACAATATCCTTTCACACAGCTATGTACTAAAATGATAACAATGGTTTCCTTAGGGGCATGAGATTAAATGAGCATAATTCTAACTTAACACAACTGAAATATTTTAAAAGTAAAGAGATACTTGCTTTTCTTATTTAAAGGGATTTTTATCCAAATAACATTTTTATAGAAATGTAAGTTCTGATTTTTAATTTTTAAAGATCAGGAATTTCCTTTAAAATATGAGCCAGTAGAATTCTACATATATAAAACTCTGTATGTAAGAAAGACCGGACTCCATGACAGTTGTAATTTTTCATCATACAGGACATGTGATGTCAACAGTTTTCATAGTATGTCTTTGCATGGACCGGAACAATTACTAATTATTTTAAATCAATTTTTACACAGATAGGATTTTGACTATTATAAGTTTTTCCAAACCAGTGTGCATTAAAAAAAAAACAAACAAAAAACCAAAAACCTCTTGTTGTGGTGAATTTTTCTTTGTAAGAAAAACAACAAAATGGTGATCATAACTGACACTGGCCTGCGTACGGAGGAATACCAATTATGTTCCATGACCTGGGAAGTCTATATAACTATACACAAAGATGCAGAAATCACAGATTCAGTTCACCCTGAGTTTACCATGCCTTTCCTAGACCAACCCAGATGGACTCGAGATAAATCTTCTATAAGATTGCAGCTAGTTAACTTCCCAAGCACCAGTCACCAAATTCTTCTCTGTTAACAAGCCTTTGGAGCTCTTCTTAAAGGTTTCTCTTCAACATTTTATTTTGTTTCAGTATAAGAAGAATGCTGAAAATCCCACCCATGGCATAGACAGGCTGGATTTTTGGGAGGCATCTTAAAGCCTTATGGACAAAATGACTTCCAGAAGCAGAAACAAGTGTCCTAAAAGGAAGTATATGGGAAAACCAAACCAAACCAAACCAAACCCATGCTGTATTTTTGAATTTCCAAAAATGCTTTTGTTAATTTGGCATGATGACAAAATCAATTTACAAATAGTACGATAGCAATCAATGTAAGGGATAAAAGTGATTGAAACCTATTTAACCTCTCCATTGCAGTTAATGTTCTACACTTCCAACGTCTATATTATATGCTAGAAAGCTGCTCCTTAATGGAATTTCAGGTAAAACACCCTCTCCCTTAGGAGTATGACTTCTGACGGTGGCCACCTCTCCTCTGCTCTCCTCTATAATGGAGGGAGATCATAGATCAGCATTATCACCTCCCTCCTCCTGCAACCTTTATCCCCATGGTAATATTTTAGTTTTTTTTTTTTTTTTAATGAAAGAGAGAGCACATGAGAGGGGGGAGGGTCAGAGGGAGAAGCAGACTCCACGCCAAGCAGGGAGCCCGATATGGGACTCGATCCAGGGACTCCAGGATCATGACCTGAGCCGAAGGCAGCCGCTTAACCAACTGAGCCACCCAGGCGCCCCAATATTTCAGTATTTTAAAGTTCATGCTCACTTTGTGTGGTAGCATACAAATATTTAAATGCTAACCCACCCTAAGTACAACTAGCTATAAGATGCTAGAGGAATAATTAACTACAAGATGGCACGTGACAGTTTTCCTTGTTCTGAGCCTGGGGATATCAAACTCATCCAACAAAGGTCATTACAAATAGTACTTTCTAGATTGATCCCTCAACTAAACTTATCCTCACTTGAAGATGACTATCTCCTTTTGAATTGTTATACAGAGACCACGGAAGGAAAAGAGTCTCAAGTATTCATCCTGCTTGGAACAACACAATGCCTTTCAAAGGGCTGGCTATTTACAAACACATGTAGAACTGACAGGAGCAAAAGAAAAGCAATTCCCTGTGATTCCAGTGATCCCTGTTCTAACTTAGGAATATACCAGTAGGAGTTAAAGTCATATGTTAAAAACAGAGGGACTAGGGGAAACATAACATCACTCATCTGCTTTAGAGGCACGGGCTGCTGGCAGGGGAGGCAAGGGATCAGGAGTCCGTGAGGCTCCTGCTTGGATCCCTGCTCCACCCACCACTAGCTGAGCCCCTGTGCCATGTGAGTTACAC